AAATTTAAACAAATAAAATTTAATTTTTTATTACGTTAATTTGTAAAAAATAATTTATTATACAAATTTATACGTGGAAATATTACTTCAGCGATGTTAAAATCATATATTTCAGACAAAATATATATCATTTTTTATTAAATGATATTTCTATCACCAAACTGGATGAACGTTTAGGCCACTCCCCGCTAACGTGGCACTCCTCCCGCAAACGGAAGTACAATCCTCCCTCTTTTATCCTACAACTCTACGCGCTCCGCTAATTTCCTGCCCCGTAAGAGAATCCCTATTGTATAATTCGTTCACATAGATTTTACCACAACCGTCATATTTGACTACCGACAGGTCTTGATTCATGAGATGGACGGCTGCGATTTAATATAACTACACCAGAGAGAAAAATAATCATTGGTGTCACTGAGGTAATTTCTGGAAGCTTCCACGCGATTCTCAAAACCATCAAAGTTCTCACGCGCTGTTATGCTAAAACCCACACCGCAGTCGCGCACGTTACCCAAACCCCAATAAAATGAACTTTAAACTAGTCCCGTCCTTGACGAGACAAGGAAAACCTTAGAAGCCAAATAGAAAGACGGAAGAGCGAGGATTGTGGAGAGTCTACGAAAGGGGGTTAAGGAGAAGGTGGTGAAGATAGGCAACGGAAGGAAGAGGAAGAGAGAGGAGGAGGTGGGAGAGGGAGATATGGGGGTCGACTACTACAAAGTATTGCAAGTTGATCGGAGTGCCAAAGACGATGACTTGAAGAAGGCTTACAGGAAACTTGCGATGAAGTGGCACCCCGATAAGAATCCTACCAACAAGAAGGAAGCGGAAGCCAAGTTCAAGCAAATCTCTGAGGCCTATGAGGTATCTATTCGTCCTCGATATTCCTCCCTTCAGTTCATTTCGTTATGTTCATGTCGCGCACGCGATTTCGTCAATCCGTATGAAGATTGTGTCAATTCAATGTTAAAAGCTTTGTGTTCTGTTATTTCCTTTTCGTTGCAATTTTGGTGGTTAGATAGATTTCCTGTTTGGATATTCTGGTTTGTTTTTTTGTCCTTGTGGTAAACTGTTTGTCTCACTCTAGATATAATTCTCAGAGTCTGGTTAATATACCCCGATTTATGATGCGGGTCCTCTACACTTCTTATCTTTTTCTTAATCTCAGTAAGGCTAGTGGGCAAATTCGGGGGGGAATGATTCTCTGAGTCTTACTGGTTACCGATTTGAGCTCTGCAGGTACTTAGTGATCCCCAGAAGAGAGCGATATATGATCAGTATGGTGAAGAGGGGTTAAAGGGTCAGATGCCACCACCAGCTTCCGGTGCTGGGGGACCAGGTGGATCTTCATTCTTCTCAACTGTAGATGGTGGCACATCGTTCCGATTTAATCCCAGGAGCGCGGATGATATATTCGCTGAGTTTTTTGGGTTTTCAAGCCCGTTTGGTGGAATGGGTGGAATGGGAAGTGCTGGTGGGGGTGGGCTTGGTGGCATGAGGGGCTCCTAGGTTTGGCGGCATGTTTGGTGATGATGTCTTTGGGTCTTTTGGTGAAGGAGCAGGAGGATCAATGCACTATGCTGGCCCTAGAAAAGCGGCTCCTATTGAGAAAAGGCTGTCTTGTACTCTTGAGGAGCTCTATAAGGGTACTACAAAGAAGATGAAGATCTCCAGAGAGATTGTTGATGTGAGTGGGTAAGTATGTGAATTTTACTTGATAATTCTTTTGCCCTTGATCATTTTGACTTATATGTTTACTCTGGTTTGTTTTCTTTTTGGCTGCTCGAAATGAATGGTCTTTGGCCCTGATTCTACTCGGATTCTTAAAATGAATCAGCTATGGAACAGTCTTAGATGCAAATAATTAATATACTATTGGTTTTACTTGTCAAAACATGAGGACACTTCATCTTAGCTTCAAAGTGCTAAAGTTCACTTGCCTTTGTTGGTTATATGCGGTAGTTCTTAGTTGCTTAAGTAGACGCTGAGGGGTCACCGGATGTCTTTTCCATTCTTCTCCACAAGAGCTTATTGGCTTCTGAGTTATATTATATTATGTTCATCTCTGCCATACCATGTCTTCTCTAACCTTGGAATTGTGATTTTTTTTTCACAAGTACTTTGCAGTTTGCTATTAAGGTTTTCAATCTTTTGTAAGTTCTCTCGTTTGATTAAAGAACCATCTTTGGCAAAAAAAATTCAACATTTTTTTCTTTTGCTGCTCTGGTCATTTGTTGGTTCTTTTTATGTCTTCTGGACCTGCACACGGGGGGAAGTGACTCATGAGTGTATTAGCACTTAAATGCCTAATTTAGAATAAAAGAAAAAGTGAATGTAGAAGTCAAATGTTATGGAGTGGTCTCTAGTAATTGAGCATATTCCAATTTAAAGAGAAGTTCATGACAAAACTAAGAATGACGTCAGCGCTGCATGAAATGTCTTGCATGAGAATGCATGACAGTGAAAGACGTGTCTCGAATGGCTATGCGTGCTTTTTATGGGTCTTCATGATCCATGTGTCATTTTTTGTTAGGGTTTGCCGTTTTGGTATCAAACAGCATGAATGAATTTATTACGACCTATTTAGTAATTGAAGTTAGAGTATGTGCCTAGTTTTAGTGGTTTCAGATCTTAGTTGTATGTTCTTAAAGAGTCCTTTGTCGTTATTAAGGTACTCGGCAGAATATAGAATGTTCTATTGATAGGATATTTGAGAAAGGAAATTTCTCATTGCATCTTGACCGTGATCTTGATTGAATTGATAATTATTGGCTTTCCATTTATTTGGTACCGATTAGTTTAATTTTTTAGCTTATAGTGATTTGGGTTTAAATCCTGCTAACCTGAAACAGAGGCATTATAGGAAAAACAACTGTCACTTCATCATAGTCTCAATGGTCATTATGTGGACAAGAAAAAGAATGCATTTGATAAGGTCTAGGTTTTGAGAGAAAAAAAAATGTATTGATAAGGTCTGGGTTTGTGGAGCTCGTTTTCCTATGGTCCTCTATCCTCAATGATAACAAGTTATTTAGAGATAACCAATCTCTATAAATAGTATTCTTTACACTGGATGTAGGACAATTTGCGCAGTGTTAATGATGTCACCTCCAACTCTCTATATGCATAAAAGCTTGGTTCTTCTGTATCATGTCTTTTTACTGACAGCTAGCTTGTCTTTCAGTTAGGAATTTTCTAACTGTTGTTTGGCAAGTTAAATTAATGTTGTAGTCATATTGAAACTAACACTCCCAAACTAGTTGGGAATTTTGCTCCTTGACAAGCGTCGGTTATTAATCATGATTGCTTTTTAGTGGATTTTGAAAAGTTATGAAATGAATGATTCGTGTCAAACTTGTGAGTAGGGCCTTATAAATTCAGAGTAGGAAAAGGAAGTTTTGTGTGAATGCACGAAGTAAATGTTGATTTTGGGAGGATAATGAAATGATCCTTCTTCAGTTCAAAGTGTTTGCTTTACAACTTTGTTTTCCCACTGTGGGTGCAGCAAAACAATGCAGGTGGAGGAGATCCTCACTATTGATGTAAAGCCTGGCTGGAAGAAAGGTACAAAGATCACCTTCCCCGAGAAAGGGAATGAACATCCCAATGTGATACCCGCTGATCTTGTGTTCATCATTGATGAGAAGCCCCACGGTGTGTTCACCCGAGATGGTAATGACTTGATTGTCACACAGAGGCTATCTTTAACAGAGGCTTTGACTGGATACACTGTCCGTCTCACAACTCTGGATGGAAGAAGTCTGAGCATACCCATCAACAATATAATCCATCCAAACTATGAGGAGGTCGTGGCAGGGGAGGGAATGCCTAGCCAAAAAGACTCCAGCAAGAAAGGAAACTTGAGGATCAAATTTGATATCAAGTTCCCATTAAGGCTTACTGCAGAGCAGAAGGCGGGAATTAAGAAACTTTTGGGCCCATGAGATCATTAACAGCGACCATTCTGTGAATAGACATTTTAGATTTCTGTGCAAAATAATAGGAGGATGGTTCTTTTGATAGGTTATTTATCTTTGGAATGTTTTGCAACTTGGTGTTGAAGATTTTTGGATAGTCTGGCAGTGCTTGCTTACTGCGCTCTTTTTCTTGAGATATTCAGATTTAGATTACATATATTTAAAATGCTTATATAAATTCATTATCCAGAAATATGAAAATACAGAAATTTGGTTTTATTAATATGTATTTTTACTTCCTCATTGAGTATTTGTTCCACGGAGTTGACAACAGATTATACATGTTTTAGAACAAGTTGGGGGGTAAATAAAATTTATTTACTTGTAACAAAAAGTAAATAACCCAACTATCATCCTTTTTTTTTTTTTTTTTTTTTTTTTTGTCTGTGTAACTTTTAACAGCCTTATATAATGTTTATACGTGAAAGCTCGTATGGAGGAGTATGAACGTTTAAACTGGAAGTGAAAAGGTAGATGACAAATTAACATGGTGCATTAACGAATGCAAATGTCAATCACATAAATCAAAATTCTCCATGTATATTTCGATCCAAGTGAAAAATATATTACAGCCATGAATTTCGTAAATGAGATAAAACATATACTAGTTACGAGAGAGAGGACAGCCAATGCCATGGCGCTTGGTGGGGAAGAGAATGAACAACAAGCTACAAACCACCCCAATCACAATTGGCACTACCACGAGAAGCTCCTTCGCCTCTTCCGACGGCAGTGGAAAAAGACACTTGACGACGTTTTCATCAAACAAGGCAACCGATGCAAAAACCAGAATGGACATCAATGCATGCAGGACATCAAGAAATCTCAGCCTGTACTTGGATGCTTCCTCTGCGCACAGTGCCATAGACCCACCCTCGATCACCAACAACCCGTTCCACGTAGCTAAACCATATCGAACCTTTCCTCTTTCGTCTCTGAAACTATCCGTCAAACACAAGAGGAAACACGATATGCCACAGAATGATAAAAGACCAAGAGTCAGGTAATGGCTCACGTTACTGTTGCATTGGCCTTGGTGTGTGATGATGGGGGATAAGATCTGGAAGGCCAGGACTGACCCCGTGGGAAGAAGCTTGGCCAAATTGCCAGTTCCTTTGAATGTCTTTCTGATTACCTTTTGGGTTTTGGTTTTAGGCTGTTTTGTTGCATTTTCTAAAAAGGGTAGCTGAAGAGATTCTTCGATTGTCACACACGATTCTCCACTTTCTACCTTAATGTCCATGATCCAAACGGATGCTCTTATTGGGGATCTATGCGAAGAATATTGAAAATGAATGACTTAAACAGGACCAAAATTTATAGATCTAAAGAGTGGGCAGGTCTAATATTGTTTGTTGTTAATTGTTGTTGTTATGGTTCTCCTGTTGGGTTCTTGTAGCTACTTAAGGTTGTGTTTGTTAATATTTTCTTTTTCAAAAATGTGTGAAGACATTGATAAGGTGATGACGGTTTTGAAAGTTAATATCGAAGCCATAAATAGGAGGAGTTTTGGTTAATTAATTTACTGTTTTGGAAGAGATCAGTTGAGCTTCAATTTGTTTTTATTTTGAGCTGCAAGTTTGTAACCTTACACTTGAGAAGAAGGTAAATTTTTAGTTGATAATTAATCTCTCACTCATGAATATGCTTAAAAATGACCTAAAACCATCTAACCTAATTCTTTAACATAACCATCATTCCCATATTAAATTATTATCAGACATAATTGAATAACATATTATTAAAGAAAAATAATAAAATTAAATTAAAATTTATAAAAGGTAACTTATACTACCTGTAATTATTTGCAATTCATTATTTATTTATTTTTTTTTATGTTCTAAAAATCTGTATATATGAAGTTTGCACATATTTATTCTATCTCATATGAATTGAATACATAGAAAATAGACCCTTCAAAAGTTATTAAAATTATAAATTTAGAAATAAGATATCATATGATTAATAAGTTATAAATATTTTATACATACACTTCATGTTCAAGTATAAAAAATATTACCACCAGAGATAATTCTCTCAATACTGTTGCGGAC